ATGAAGACCCGTCCTTTTCTTCGGCCCAGACAAGGATTGATGAGGATGCGGGAGAGCACTCAGACAGGCAAGGAAAGGCTGTGAACCTTTTCCAAGCCTGCAATTTATCTTGAGAAGACCATTCACAACACTTTTTACAGGTTGGATTATGCTCTGACCTGGCACATTAATCTCACCGAATAAAATAATAATCATCAGAAAAAGGGAGCTGGACAGTTGCCAAGGGGACATTAATAACTGTCGCCTACACCTTGGTGGTGCAGGGACAAGGGGCCGGGTCCCATCCCCGCCCCTCACCCCCAGCAGTGCCCAGTTGAAGGGGAAGGAAGTGAGGGAGGTATGGCCTGAACTCGGGGAGATTTTGTATGGATGGTGCCCGGAAACTCCACTCCTCAGTCAGCTCTGCGGAACCTCCCTAACCCGTCCAGGGAACTCAGAGGGGAGGGAGTGTGGTCCAGGAACTCAGAGTTCAAATCCCCCACTCAGCCACTTCCAAGCTGTGCGGCCTTGGGCTGCTTTCTCAGCCTTTTACGGTGTTTGTTTTCTCTGCTGAAAAAATGGGGATTGAAACAGCCCTGCCCAGGAGGGCCGAATGGCGGAGCTGCTGTGGAACACAGTTGGGTGGTTCCTCAAAGTCAAACGGTCACCTTATGACCCAGAGAAATGATGTTCAGACAGATGCTTGTCCACAAGCATTTGAAGCTGCGTTATTCACAATAGCCCCAAAGTGGAAACAACCCAAATGTCGGCCAAGAGATGAATGAATGCACAGCGGTGGTCTGGCCACATAATGGAGTATCATTCCGCCACAGGAAGCGATGACACAGGCCACAGTTACGGGTGAACCTTGGAAACATGATGGTAAGAGGGGGAAGCCGGACAGAAGATCACATAATGTGTGATTCCATTTATAGGAAATGCCCAGAATAGGTAAATCCATAGACAGAAAGCAGACTCGTGGTTTCTGGGGGCTGGGGGGGGGAGGGGGAGTGACTGCTCATGGGAACGAGGTTTCCTTCTGGGGTGACGAAAATGTCTTGGGATGAGACAGTGGGGACCATGCCACGACACTGTGAATGCAGTGTATGCCACCGAATTGCACGCTTTATAATGATGACTCGTGAATTTCATGTGAATTCTATCTCAATATGGGAACCTGCAACACAGCAGCACTTGCCTTGTAAGACAGGCGTCAGGAGGCAATGAGGTCGAGCCCTCCTGGGCCAAACAAAGGGCCGACTCCCCATTTTAGCTGCGCCAAATGCTGTCAGTATCATTACTACGAAGTGTGCAGCCTCTGGCAAGCTATTCAACTCAGCTTCTGCTCCGTGAAAAGAGATGTCAACAGCATCTACCCCCGCCCAGAGTTGTTAAGATTGAATGAGACAATGTCTCCAGTAGAAGGATTTTTGTCTACTCGGTTCACTGATGCATCCCCAGGGCCCAGAACAGTGCCTGGTACCTAAGACAGCGTTCAGCCAATACTCCTCCAACAAATGGCACTGCCTAACACTGCGCCTGGCTCCTGCTAATTGTTTAGCTGTACTGTTACTATTAGTTTGGCTCCCAGGTGTCTTTGGTCCTTTCTAGCACAGGGAAGCAAGTACCACTTTGCCTTGTGGATTTCTGTGTCCTTGTGACAGAGGCATTTGAATACCTACTAAAATATAAGAGGTTTGAGCTGAGCTGTGAATACAAAATAAGCTCTCACTGCTGTTACAAGAGGAGGTGGTGAAGAGTTACTGTAGCCGACGAGACTGTCAATACATCTGTCCGTCCATTCATCCACCCACCCACATATCTATCCATCCATCCAAAAATCCATCCATCCATCCATCATCCATCCATCCAATCACTTGACTACCCATCTACCCAACTATAATACATACATACATACAACAAACACTTTGGAGTACATATCAGATACTAGTGATCCATCAACAAACAAGCTAGATGCATCCATTTCCTGCTGTCACAGAGGTTACACTTGAGCAGGGAAGGCAGACAACTAAACAAGCAATTACAGTCAGGGTGGTGAGGGCTAGAACAGGGGGAGGACAGGGCGCTGGGAGAGTCCTTGGCAGGGGCACCGTCCCTAGCCTGCAGGGAAGATCCCTGGGAAGCTGTGATCTGCAGGAGCAGGAGTTAATCAAGGCACGAGTCGGGGACAGGTACTTTGAGGCAGGAGGATCAGGGGTGCAGTGGGTGGGAAGCAGGGCCATGCACCACCCACTCTGGCAGCTGTACGGGGGAGTTAGCATGGAGTGCCTCAGTTTTCTCATCTGGGAAATGGGGTAAGAAGAGCACCTACCACATATAGGACCAAAGAAAAGGAAAGAGCAGGGTCTGGCTGGAGTACAAAGAACAGGGTGAAGGAGTGGGTGGGAGAGAGGGAGTGGAATAAATAGAAACGCCAGTGGTAGGACCTGTGGGGAAGAGCTGGGAAGCCTCACCTGCCTCCTCTCCAGGCAGTGACCAACCCACCCCTTGACGTGCCCACCTACGGTAAGTCTCTCTATTTTTTCCACATGTCTCAGCCCAAGGGGGCGCCAGGGGCCAGGGGAGCCTGTTGACACAGTTCACCCAGGTCAGCTTCCTGGATAGACGGCAGGTTGAGAAAGGTGGAGCACCCAGAGGAGCAGAGGGAAGGCATCTGGCACAATTATTATCCCCACTTGACAGATGAAGGAACTGAGGCACAGAGAGGTTAAGAAATCTCTCCAAAGTCACACAGCTTGTTGGTACAGAGCTAGCAACCATAACTAATGCTCAGAAGTATTGCGAATCATTTAATGAGTATTTACTCCGTGCTGAGCATGGGGCAAAGCACTTTCTGTTTCCCACAAGCAATAGTTGTTATGAAGCTAATACTTGAGAGGCAGGTGCTATTATTCTCATCAGTTGACAGGTGAGGAAACTAAGACTCAGAGAGGCTTTGTCATCTGTACAAAGTCACACAGCTCGGTAGAGGTAGAGCAGGGATCTGAATGTCGACATGTCCAATGCCAAAGTCCGCGTGCGTAACCTTAGGCCATGCTGCTTCCTGGTGTCAAGTCCCTGGTACCTACCTGGGACAGCGTGAGCTCAAGAGCCAAATGATCATGGCTATCATGACCTTGGGAGGGCATGTGCGAGGCATGTCAGGGTTCTGCAGACCTACTGTTTCCCCTCTTGTCTTCATCAAAGGAAGTTTCGACAGCTAGCACTTCCGTTCCTTTGGATAAATCACAGGTGGAGGAGGGGAGTTGAAAGTGAGGTGTGTCAGGGGCCAAAGGGGGCAAAGGGGGCAAAGGCAGACTCAGATTACCCTGGTGTGAAATAATAAGAAATAAGCACATTGGCCCCCATCCTCTCTCCTAGAATCCATATTTACAAGGATCATTTGCTCTAATGTTTAGTCTTTGAGCCCAGTGCCCAACACAGAGCTCCTCAGACTCTTGCCATTCCCAGAGTGATGGGAGCATCTCACACCGAACTCCTGAATCCTTCGGAATTTCCCGGAGCTTCTTCTGTTCAAATGAGGGGGCTCTTAGTAGACTCCTGGGTGGGGGCTCGTCCCCAGAACAACTGCGCTGTAAGCAAAAGTTTGGAACTTCCAGCCGCATCACTGGAGAAGGGAGAGGGGCTGGACATGGAGTTACTAATTGATCACGTCTACCTGAGGGACCGCCCTGCAAATACCAATAGTGTGGGGTTCAGAAAACTTCTGGGTTGGTGAACACATGTTTAAAGGCTGAGAGGGTGGTGCGCCCCATCCCCATGGGGACAGAGCTCCCAGGCCTTGTCCTCTGGCCCTCTTCATGTGTCTGTGCCTGTGTCCTTTATCACATTCTTTATTAGAAGTAATGACCACACACTGAACAACCCCCTAGCAAAGCCTATGAAGCACTGTCACAGGAAGATGGAGAGAGGAATGCAGCCCTGCCCGTGCCCTGACTTGAACTTAACGGAGCCCAATTTGGAGTCTGACCTCCAGAACTATAAGATACCAAATCAATGTTGCTTTCAGCCACTGAAGTGAAGTCTGTATGTAAAATACAGCTATAATGTGCAGTCTACAATAAGAATACATTGGCTACAAAACAAAGATTATATTTTTAATATTTATATGTTGAATAAATGTAAAAGAATAATTAACAAACTGGTAAATGTAAGCGCATGTTTCCCTGGGTTCTGTGAGCTGTTCCAGCAGATGAATGAAGGAAGAACACAGAAGGAGGTTTTCCTGCGCACCTGGATGGGCAGACAATTCCAGACCGGCTCTTCCACCAACCAGACCCTAAGCTTTCTGAAGCTGAAAAGATGGTTGTTCTCAAAGCAAGAAAAGCAGGAGTCTTCAGAGGTTGTTTAGTCCACCTGCCTCTGCCCAGACTGCCTGCTTTGGGTCCTGCAGCAGAATCCCTGGCAAGACTAACCTCCTAAAGGTGCTGTGTCCCAGCCCTGCTCAGTCCTCTGAATCACAGTGGTTATCCCCCCACAAGACCCCTTCGACCTGACACGCACCTGCAGGCCTTCCCCCCTAGTGCATTGCAAGAAGTCACTGCCATCACTGCCTGTGCTGTGTCCACAGCAGACATCACTAGTCCATCACCGAGTTCTCTCCCTCTGAGCCTTGGTTCCCTTTACAAGACATTCTCCCGAAGCCACAAAGCATCAAAACTTACAAAAGCCATCATTCCCTGAGAGAAACAGAACCAAGGCACGTCAACATGGCTTTCTTCCTTTTTCAGATGAAAACTGAATCAAAGTCAGCTTTGAACAATGAAAGTTAGAGAAAAATCAACTTAGAGTGGAGGTGTCACAGGCAGGTGACAGCTAAGACAGCCAAGCTCAGCTTCAAGGAATCGTAAGAGGTGAATGACAGGATCCGCTAGCTCAGGCTCTGCTCATTTGCTACAATGACATCAGCTCTGCTCACGCGCACTCTCCTCCTCCAGAAGGTGCCCTGAATTCCCCGTATGTGTGATGGGGGCTGCCTGGTGGCCGCAGCCAGTGCCTACCTTGGACTTGACAGCCAGGATGATCTTGGGCAGGGCCACGACGAGGCACTTGAGGGCGATAGTGATGTACTTCAGCACAAAGTCTGCGATGCCCACGATCCACAGCAGGTCGAAGAAGTCCAGGGTCTCCAGGTTGGGCTTTAGAAAGATGAGGCTGTGGGGAGGATTTGGAGAGGGTTCGGAGAGGATTAGGAAAGGATTCTCACTTCCGCTCCCTGGCCCTCCGCAGCTCTTTCCACTCACTCTGGGAGCCTTACAAATATGACCTGTACAAAGAGCACTGAACTGGGAGTCTGCTATCTGTATCCTGTTTCCGAATCTGCTAGTAACTTGCTGTGTGACTTTAGGGGGGTATCTTAACCTCTCTGAACCTCAGTTTCTTTGAGGGTTAAATGATGAGATTGGCCTGGAGTATCATTAGTTAAGGTCCCCTCCAGTTTTATGGGTCTATGACAAGCTTCACAAGAGGAAGCAGAAGAACGAAAGGAAGAAAGGCCAACATTATGAAGGACGGAGAGAGAAGGGAAGAGGAAAACTAGGTGCCTGATGCCACACTGAGCTCTTCACTCCCTGTATCTCATTGTCCTGCGCAGTGTGCTTATCCTTTACCTGGTAAACCAGGGACTGATGCTGGGAGAAGTAAGTAGCCCAAGGCCACACTGCATGCTAACGGGCATCTGTATCAGACAGACTTGATTTTGAATCCAGGCTTCTTCATTTATTGGACCCTGGGCAAATACTGTTATCTCCATAAACCTCAGCATCCTCATCAATAAAATGGGAATCATGCCTTCCCTCACAGTATTATTGGTGGGATTCAAAGAGGTAATGGCCACATGACAGATCTGCCCGCAGCCACGATGATGATGGTAATAGCCACTCTACGAGGCCAGCACTGCTATCCATCCCATTTTGCAGATGAAGAAACTGAGGCCAAGGTAAAATAACAGGAACAAAGTCCTTCAAATATGAAGGGATAGAGGCAGACTGCAACCCAGGCATCCTGGCTGCAGTTAATGGTCTCAGTTCTCACCATGGCAGTGCCACTCGGGTGCGTAAGCCCATTTTGTCCTTCGCGCATAGCTAAGTTACCTGCACACCCAATTTCTGTACTTACCTCGCTGGAGCCTGACAACAGACATCTCAAACTGACCGCACGTGGAGCAGCACTGCCCTCCGCCGCCTCGGAGGGTGTGCACGCTGCACCCTAGATGTGTCTGACTCACTTCAGCTTCCCAAAGACTCTACGAAGTAGGAGCTGAGGTCTTCCCATTTCGAGCTGGGGAAACTGGGGCGCTAAGAGTGGCGCTGCCTGCCCGACGGGTCTCAGGTGGAACTGGGAGTGGGGATTGGAACCCGCACCCACTCTGCTCTGGACCCCTCCCGTTTCTCCCCGCCAGGCTGGAGGCTCCGAGCAAAGGGCAGACCAAGTCCTATCTGCCCCTGGAGAGCACGCAGCCCAGAGCAGACGCCTTCTCGATGCACCACGCAGTGGTCCCCCCTTACCCACCGTTTCGCTTTCTGTGTTTCAGTTATCAGTGGTTAACCACAGGGAAGTTCCAGAAAGAAACAAGTCCTAAGTTTTAAACTGCACGCCATTCTGAGTAGCGTGATGAAGTCCTGCACCGTTCCTCTCTGTCCCACCTGGGAAGCGAATCATCCCTTGTCTAGCATTTCCACGCTGTGCGTGCTACCTGCCCACCCCTGGTTAGAAGATCGACTGCCGGGACCTTGCAGCGCTTGTGTTCAAGTAACCCTTGTTTTACTTTACGTAATGGCCCCAAAGAGCAAGAAGAGTGACGCTGCCAACTTAGACATGACACAGAGAAGCCGTAAACTCGGTCACGGGTATGCATGTATGGAAAAAACAGTGTATACAAGGTTTGGTGCTGTCTGTGGCTTCAGGAATCCACTGGGGGTCTTGGAACGTAGCCCCCAAGGACAAGAGGGGATGACTATGCCCTGCTGGGCTGCCGGAAAGAGGTGCGAAACTGAGGCCTCTTTAGTATAGTATCCTAGGAATAAACTGGTCTCTTTTTTCACTTCTATTTTAAAAAACCTATTTCTACTTATAATAAAACCCTTTGAAGAGCTAGTGTAGGGCCAAATCAATGAAAACAATCAATTTAGGCGATTTCTCACACATATTCTGGGTGTCCCCACACCCCGGCCCTGTCTTGGTGGGCTTCTTTGCATCCAAGTTCGAGTGGTCGTTTCTGTTACAGTACAGGGACAGGCTGGCAGCCCCGAGCCCACTTCTCCGCCTCTGCTCCGTCCTTCCCTGGGGACGCCTCGGGTTGGCTGGTTGACTTCCACGCCCTTATGCTTCTGTGACCACAAGCAAAGGAAGATCTGCCTTCCACTTTCCACTTTATCTCCGAGACACCAGCGGGTGATGAACTCATTGATCTGAGCTTCAGTTTATCGCGTCAGTATTTCTTCTGTTTTGCACTGTGTTAGTGTTTTGTTTTGGTTTTTTTTTTGCATTTGGAAGAGGGGCAGTGCAAAATGCCCCTCCACAGATTAACCACTAAGTCCACTTATGTATAATGTAGGCCATGAACTTCAATAAACGGATGTGTTTTAGTGTTAGTTTTGCTCCTTAATAGGCTCTAGCACCCATCAGTATAGTAATTCATCATAAAAGGACAATATTATGATGTGATTAGGTCCAGATCAAACGTGTCCTGGCTCACCCAGTACGTTTCATGCATTGTCACATTTGGCCTCCTGAATAATGAGCCTGTTCAGGCGGGTAAGGCAAAGATGAACTGGATCCCAGTTTCACGAATGAGGAAACTCCGGGGCATCTCCCAGGGGTTCCGTGACTTGCCACAGGGCATATGCCTGGGAAGGGGCAGGACTAAGACTTTCTGACGTTGGCCATCAGTCTACAAATCCTGGGAAGATTCACGCTTGCCGTTAAGGGCCACCTACTGGCACTAAGTTAGCCTCAGTTTCCTCACCTGTGAAATGGGGACAGCAACATGCTGCTGGAAGGACAAGAGGACAGAGTAGCCATGGTGTCCCTGGACCACTGGCATCTACGTGGGAGGGGGCTCAGCCCCTCTCTGTCCTCCTCTCCCTCTCTGTGTCTGACTCAGTCCTGGTCTGGTGGGGCATGGTGGGCTGGGCCTGTGTCCATGATCGGGTCCAGAGAACCACACGAATTCACCCAAGATTCTGGGAAACTCCACCTTCGAATACCTCCGCTAGGGTCTTGCAATTCCAGGCCAGATAACAAACCCGGTGCATGGGATGTGCGTGGATGCCCTGGCGCTTACTCCCCAAAACTGCTTGTGTGTGTGTGGGGCCCAGAATGCGGTGAACTGGCTCACTCCTCACAGTCCATTTTCAGAAGAGATGTACATGATCCAAAACTTGGCTCGAGTTCCAGCCTCATCCTGCAGGCCTTTGCTGGCCAGCCCTCACCCCCACCCCCCAGCTACTATGCGGCCACCAGAAAATTACACATGGGGCTGGCGTGTTATTTCCATTAAAGAGCTCCAATGCAGGCACGAGTGCCTGCAGTGCCAGGGTGGGGTCTGAAGGTCGCAGCGTGACACAGAGTTGGTGACCACTCTCCAGTGAAGGGTTGCATATTCTAAGCCCACCCACGTTCCCCACTTTCCCACAGAGCGCAGACGTCCCCACTCACCTGTTGTACAGCTGCTGGGAATTGAATGTATAGAGCACGTACAGGGTGTTTCCCGCTAGAAAGGCCAAGATCCACAAGATGACCAGCACCGACCTCTTCTCCTGCAGACAAAGTGCAAGGGGCCTTTGGGGATGCTGCCACACCACAGGTGACGTGGCAGGACATTCCAGAATGTTTTCTGATAAGTGGCAACCTTTACCCTTCTCCAAGGTTTGGATGAAGCAGAGTGACAGGAAGGGCACCGGCATCGGTCCTTCCTGCTAGAACCTGAGGGAGCGTTATAGAAAAGGTGACAGAAAAGTGGAAACCTGTTTGGAGAATTACCTGGAAAGGCAAGAGAGCCAGGCAGTTAGCAGCACAGACTTTGGAGCTGGAAGCCCAAGTTCAAGTCCTTGGTCTGCCACCTGGCGACTATCCAACCCTGGACAAGTTACTTAAACTTTTCATGTCCCCTTCCTCATCTGTAAAATGGGTCTATGTCGTATCTCTCTTATAGAGTCAGGAGAATTACTATACACAAATGCTCAAAACAGTGCCCGACATGCAGGACATGGGAGTTCACATTTACAGGTAAGAACTGAAGCACAAAGAGGTTAAGTATCTCTTGCCCAAGGGCACATGTTTTAAGCCTCTGTGCCCTTGCTTAAAATGACGGTTTCATGAAGAATTAAGTAAAATTCATAAACGCCCACATTCGGTCCGGTACAGGCTCATATTTCAGGCTCACTAAATGGTAGGACCTATGGTAGTTTTCAGACCTTACAACCCAGTAGCCCATTCACAACTACAAACTAGAAATTCCTGCTCTCACTTTTGCTAGCACGGGCCTTGGGGCTGCTGCCCTGGACCCACTGTTCAACGCAAGGTGCCACACTTACAGGATTAAATTCAAGGTCGTGCACTTGGCCCTCAAAGCCCTGGCCTCACTTCTCTCCCTCCATCCTCCTTTCTGTTTGGTCCCAAAGAACACAAGCCTTGGTCTGCTGCTTCCCAGAAGCCTCTCAGCCTGAGAGCGATCCCCGGAAATTTCTGGAGGAGGCGCCGGGCTGGCATGTACCCAGGGAGACAAAAGTAGACCCCCATCCTGCTGATTTTCACAAGCTCGTCTCTTCCTGGACCAGGGCGGCTGCTTTGCTGGAATAGGATGAGATCATATCTTTCCCAGTGTAACCTTCCCTGCGGTTTCAGTAAATGCTCCACTGTTTCCAGACGCAGCTCAGCGCCCCATGCACCCTTACGGCACGTATTCCAGACAGAATAAATGCATCTCCATCCACCCATTATTCCAGGAGCGGTCAAGGTTAACGACCCTAGAAACCACCTCCAACCAACCAACTGCTCTTATCAATGTGATTAATCCACTCGGCAGCCCTTTTCACCCAATAAATAATGGATTCCAGTTGAGTCCTCTGCAAATCCGAACCAAAGGGGGAAGAGAAAGAGGGAATTAGCATTGCCCCAAGAAACCAGACTCTGGGGGACAGAGCGGGTAGTTCAGCAGTACTCGGCTGAGATTCCTAAGCTTACTAAGAGTCATGGACATCCTCTTTCACAGAAAGAATGTGCAGATGGGCAAAGCATCACCTGTGGCTTCACTCCGTAAGTTTCAAGGACCCCTAAAAGCTTGTCTGTGGATGCAGGTATCATTTTACCCCCTAAAATTCCAGTCAAGGCACCATCTGGATGTTACTGCACTTGACGGACAGCCATCCCCCGAAGGCTCCCATTATGGTGTCCACCAACCTGCTGTGCAAAAAGCAGAAGACAGGAGTTTGCATGAAGAAGACACCCAGGGTCAGGGAGAACCTCTGGCTCCACGCCCGACTCTGGACGTCAATGTGCTTGTGTTACAAGGAAGCTGAGCTGCCCTCCCGGCCGCACGGCAGCCCGGCTGCTTCTGAGAAAGCAGATGGCCCCAAGGAAGTATCGGAGAAGATAGTGGCTGTCCGGGGGGCACACGCACAGCACAAAGCACGGGCCTGTTAAAAACAGCTCGATTAAATGTTACCACTGTGCCAGGCACTGTGCTGAACATCTTCTCTGCATTATCTCATTTCATCCTCTCTACTGGTGTAAGAAGTTGGTGTGAATAGTTCCTTTTCCAGAGGGGGCACCTGAGGCAGAGCTCGTAGGTGGGTGAAGCTGGAATTTGAACCTGGGGTGAGCACCGCCTGGGGGTCAGTGCCTGGGTTCGCACCTTCACACCACCACTGGCACGGGCTATGGGACCTTAGGAAAGGAATTTAATGTCCCCGAGTTGCGTTTCCTATCGGGAAAATGAGGTAGGAATGATGGCCTCCCCTCACCACCACCAGGTTGCTGGGACAAATCTGCGAGATGAGCTGTGCAACGGCCCAGCACCGCGCCGGGCATTCATTCAGGAAGACGGTGGGGAAGCTGTCCAGCCACCCAGCTGTGTCGGTGGGATGGTCTTAACTGTGAGGATGCGGCGGAAGTGAGCTAACTGGTTGAATGCCAGGTGGGCAAAGGCACTGGGCTGGGAGGACCCTGCAGGCAGAAGGGCTCGGAAGAAGGATGGCACATCGAGGGATCTGCCTGGGAGTGGCAGCAGAAGAATGGTCCCCCAAAGATGCCCCCACCCCAATCCCCGTGACCTGTGGGTGCGTTAGATCACATGGCAAAGGCTGCAGCTCTGGAGATGGGGAGCGACCATGGATTATCCGGGTAGACCCTATGTCATCAGAGGTCCCCAAACGTGGAAGAGGGAGAGAGAGGAGGACAGTCAGAGGGGGGTGTGACGACGGGAAGTGGTCACACAGATGCACTGGCTCAAAGAGGAGGAAGGGGCTGGGGGCCAAAGAATGTGGGCGACCTCCAGAACCAGCAAGAGGCGAGGAAACAGATTCTCCGCTAGACCCTCCCACCGGAACACAGAGCTGGCGAGACCTTGATCTTCGTGGAGAGAGACCCGTTCTAGACTTCTGATCGACGGCACTGTGAAATAGCCCACTGATGCTGTTTTAATCCACTCAGTTTGTGGCCATCCGTCTAACTCACCAGGCGACTCACCTTCAGAGAGACCTGTTCTCGGAGTGTGGAGTTGGCGTAGGCGAAGGTGGTGGCCATCCCGATGCACACGGCAATGCCTGCGGGACAGAGGAGGGCCGACACAGCCACTCAGACACATCAGGCCTGGCCCCCTGCTTACTGGGGACGGTGAGCCACGTTCAGCAGACACACCCCTGGCCCTCCCAGGGTGGACAGACTAACCTCAGAAGAGAGAAAATCTCACTTCTGGGGGATTTGGGCTGTCATGTAAATCAGTGACACCCCCCCCCGCCCCCTCCCTCCCGCCACTCTGAGCACAGGCCCCTGACGTGGGGAAGGGATAGAGGCCACTCTCTGGTACTGCACTGAACTGGGTTAGGAGCATGGGCTGTGCAGTGTGGTAAGACCTGGGTTCAAGTCCTAGCTCTGCCACCTCCTCTCTGTGTGAGCTCAGGCTAGTCCCTGCACCTCTCTGAGCTCCACTTTCCTCATCTAGAAAATGGACAGAATAATAGCAGTTCTCACCTCCTGGAGGGATGAAGCTTACAAAGCGCCACGTCTAGCAGGTAGTAAATGGTACCTGTTGTTATTCCTACTTTCAGAAAGAATCTGAGGTGTGTTATTTGTAACAGAAGCATACACGGAAAAAGTCTGTGACACCATAAGGAATACAAGTTTGATGTTAAAGGGGAAAAAAATTCCTGCTGACAGAAAACCCATGACCCCGGCAGATGGAGGAACAGAACTGAATTTTATTCGAATTCCTTCAGTTGCCACTGTTCGCCAAGCTGCAATCTTGGAATTCTCCCTGAACAGGGCTTTGCGAGTCCTGCCGTCCGTAACCTGTAGACAGAATTCTGCTTTCACACGGGGCACTCAGCTGCTCGGGCTCAGCGTTTGCTTTTACTTTTTTAACAGTGCGTGTGCTCCCGGTATTTCTCTGGATTTATTTCAGAGACACCCTTCTTCACTGGACACACATAAAATAAAAACTAGGAACCCTGCAACTCTTTCTTCTATTTCCCCCTTTATTTGTTACCAAACAAATAAACCAGCCTGTCAAGTGAAAAAGAAAACAACACTACTTGAGAATAAACTGAAGGCTGAGAGTTTGCTGGAGTTCCGCATACAAGGGGAACAGGCAGGCTTCCATTTCCAGGAATGGAGAGGGAGGGGCCGCCGTGGTAGTGCCCCAACAGGGAAGGTGGGGGGTGTCAGTCAGCCAGGACTCGCCAGAAAGGGGCAAACAAGACACAGAGCATGGCTTACCCTTCTCTGCATACTGTCTATGGGACACCGTAGGCCACAACATCATCTGTACCACCGTCACTCCTGCAGGGCCAGAACGATGCGCAAAACTCGCCGGGGTACAGCAACACCGTGATAAGTAACAACAAGAATAAGAGCAGTGGTCCAGAGACCACCTTCTGAGTGTGAAGTGCATGTCAGGTTCTAGGCTTGTCACTTTACGAATCGTTACCTTACTTTCTAAGAACACCAACAACACGGAGCATCTGCTGAGTACCCGCTCTGGGCCAGGCTCTCTGTTACGTATTTTACGTGCATGAATAATGAATAATAATGAACATCATCACCTCCAGTTGCTTAAAACGATCCTAAGTGCTCTTTGCACATATGAGATCATTCAACCTCTCTACAATTTCACAAAGAATGTCTTACGATAATCCTCATTGTACGGATGAGGTACAGAGAGGTTAACTATCGTATCCAGAGTCACACAGCTAGGAAGGAGCAGAGCCAGGGCTCAGACCCGAGCAGTCTGAACTCCTAAGTTACTGTGCTCTGCTCCTCCACACCCACCAACCAGCTGAGGAAGCTTCTATTACAACCCGCATGGGGAGGTTGAGGAAGCCGAGGCTCCAAGGTGAGTAACTTTCCCAAGGTCACATAGCCAGTCCATTGGGACTTGAACCCAGGTCTGAGAATCCCACACTCTTTTTTCTTTTGCAATCCTCACCTGAGGACACCTTATTGACTTTAGAGAGAGGACAAGGGAGAGAGTGAAACACTGACATGAGAAACACCAATTGGCTGCAACCCTTCCCACACTCCCAAGAGGGGACCAAACCTGCCTGGGAGTTGAACCCACGAACCTTTGGTTTATGGGACAATGCTCCAACCAAACCACACCGGCCAGGGCCAGAATCCCATCCTCTTAACCCCTCTGCACGGTGAGGGCCTCTGCTGCCTTCCCCTGGCATTTGGGACAAAGAGCCCCCTACCCAGGAGCCGAAACCCCCATGTCCCCAGGACTCACCAAGCTTATGCTGGAAGCACAGCTTGGCCAGCAGGATGAGGATGAAGGGCAGCCCTTTCTGGAGCCAGCAGACCACGGCCTTGAGCTCGGACAGGGCAGGGGCGGGGGTGCCTGGCTGCTCGTCACCCCCGTCATCTGAGTGCGCCCGGTGGTCCCCACCCACGTGCTGCAGCAGCGAGCTCCCACGGTGGCTGCCGTGGTGGAAGTGGTGGTGGGGCTGGCGGTGGTGGTAGGTGCTCCCTTCGCCCCGGCCTCCGCCTTCCTCCCTGGATGCTGGCATCTGGATGAACACGTCCCCTCCGCTGGCAGAGGCCCCCAGCACCAGGCTGGAGGGGAAGGGGGTAGCAGGAAGGCTGCTGGCTGGGAGGCCAGAGAGGCTGGAGAACAGCACTGGTGGGGAGGCCGCTTCTGCCTTCAGACTCTCAAAGACGCCCCCTTCATCCACGCTTGCCTCGGAGCTGAGTGCTTGGCTGCGATTTCTGGGCCAGAAAGGAAGAGAAAGCCCCACCAGGTCAGGCAGCTGGAAAGACAGTCACCCAGTGGAGGTTGGGGGACAAACAACAGTATCAATAATGTTGTGTTAGCTGACCTGTGTCTCCCCACAAACCCCCACGTTGAAGCCCTAGGGGCCTCAGGGTATGACGGTAAGTGGAGGCAGAGTCTTCGCAGAGGTGACTAAGTGAAAATGAGGTCACGAGGGCTGGCCCTGATCCAATCTGACCGGTGTCCTTGCAGGAGGAGAAGATCTGGACGCTGACACACTCGGAGGGAAAATGGTGTGAGGACACAGTGGGGAGACAGCCATCTACGGGCCACGGAAAGAGGCCTCAGAGGAAAGCAACCTGCTGACACCTTGACCTCCTTGACCTCGGACTTCCAGCCTCCAGAACCGTGAGAAAATACACTTCTGTGGTTTAAGGCCCCCAGGCTGCTATCCCACCAACAGGGGTTCCCATTCTGAACTCCTTCCCGAGGCCTCAGATAAACCCTGCAGACTGGGAGTGACGGCATTCCCAGCTTACAGATAAAGAAACCGAGGCTCAAAGAGACACACTTGCCAGACACCCTGGATCACCTGCCCCCAAACCCCAGTCTCCTTGTGTGCCCCTCTCTCACTACCCAAGGGCTTCCTCCCGCAGGGCCTTTGCACGGGCTGGCCCCTTCACTGGATGCCGCCATCACACTGTCCCACCTCGGTACCTGTGCTCACCCCTCAGATTTCGGCTGAAATCTCTGCTCCTCGGTGGCACCTGCCCTGCCTCCAGACTGCAACAGTCTCCTCACTCCTACTTCTCATTGCCTCTCAACTTCAGCTGCATGGGACTGAGCGCGAGTCACCACTCACTGCTTACCTGTGGCTCTCAACCCCAGCTGCTCGGTATAATCATGCAGGGGGGCTTTTGAAAAATACAGGAGCCCAGGACCCAGCGCTGAGCAACCGAACCAAAGTCTTTGGGGGTGGGGCCTGGTATCTCTATGTCTTCAGAGCCCCCTGGTGACTCTAACGTTAGTGAACACTACTTTAAACTGGGCCCTGTGCCATGAAGTCCAAGGTCATGATTGTTTGTCCCCGCTGTCTACCTCTCCTCCCCAGCACAATGCATCTGGTATGTACATGGGACATGCTCAAGAAGCAGTGTTTGAAAGAAAGAATGAATGAATGAACGAGCACACCAAAGGCTCTGAAAAGGCCTGCAACCAAAAAATTCAATCTTGCCTTAACCTAGTGTTTCTCAAACGTATTTTAGCACGGAATATTTTTCAGTGGAAACCCTATGACTGCCTTAGAGAACACCTGTGAAATCCAGCAGGGGAAATGCTGGGCTGGAGAGGTCTCAGGGGTAGTTGTTCTGGCTTCACAGACTTGACCTCTGGGTAAGTTATCACAAACCTGCTGCAAGGGAGGGAACTTGAAGGTAGCCACCTACCCCTCTACCACCTGGCTCACCCCTGCCACCTCCCAAATCCCGGGAACTGTTTGGTCCTACTCCCTTGGGTTTGGCTTTATAATAAAGACAATCTTAATAATGACAACAATAGCGGACACCATGGCTATGGTCCTCAAGGGGCCTTGGGCTTTTTCTGCGCTTCAAGAAGCTGAGCTAAGAAAGGAGTCCTGGCAGGTGCCCACACTGGCTCACATGGGGGCCACCATCTCTCCCCCACTGTCCCAGGAGGACCTGGAGAGTTTTCCTGGCCCCCATAAGCTCGCCAGCACTCTCGGTTCACTGGGCTCAGGGGACCTCCAGTTCAACCAGGGAAGACTCAACCCACCAAGGAGCTTTTTATAGCTGGCCTCCCTTCCCTGGGGCCCAGCATCCAGCCGAGATTTTAGCCTAAATGGGAAAGGATATTCCTTGGGGAGGCAGAGGCTGTGCTTCTAACTTAACCACTTAAGGGCTAGAGTAAGAGGCAGCTCAGGAGAGGAGTAGATCTGCCCAGATGGGAGAGCAGTGTGCTGGGGGGCGGGGGGTGGCAAATGGACTGGGGTCCAGATCTCGGTCCTGCTGCTTCCTGGCTGTGTGACTTCAGTTAATTTACTTCTACTCTCTGAGCCTCAGTTTCCTCATCTGTAAAAATGGTGATAAAAAATGGTCCTGACCTCAGAGTAAGTACGCGACGCACGGTGGCCATTCTTTCTCTGCTGCCAAAGATCTCATGGGTCACTAGGGAGCAGACAGCAGTTCTGTCTTCAGAGGCTTCAACTGGAGTGCTTACTGCCCAGATGCTGTGTGTGTGCATTTTATATCCCTTCATTCCTTCCTAAGCAACCTGAGTTTCGTTATCTGCCATTTATGGGGGCAGAAACTGAGGCCAGGAGGTGAACACTTTCCAAAGGCATCATAGGTGTGAAGTGGCTGAGCTGGGATGCGGCCAAGGGTTGTCTGATTTAAGGCCAGAGTTCTTTGCCACAGAATAGGCAGGCTTGATGCAAAACTCAGCCCCAGCTCCACGACTGGTGGGTTCTCTGACTTCGCAGCCAATCTCCGAGTTGCAAGGGAACTGGAATGGGGCGTAAGGGAGGAAAAGCTTTGGCTGCCTACTCCTGGAATGTATGTGCCAGCACAGTGGGAGGTCTGAGGCTGGGAGACTGTGACAACCTGAGAACAGGTCCCACGGTGCGTTCTCTCTGGGGCTTAACTAGAGAAATTCTAGCTCGTGAGTGTTTTCATGATGTTTTCTTAGATTCCGTGTTTGTCTACTTGGCATCCAGTAATTACAGGGTCAAACTAATACCCAAAGTTGTTTAAATCTTCCCTGCAATCCAGAGCCCGTATTCTCAGCCACCTTCTTGATCTAACGCTCCCACATCCAGCCTGTATTTCTCCTGCCCTGAATCACCCATAGCCAGAGACGGGACAACCAGAGACCGCCCTTATAGCCCAGTGCCTGCTGACATTACTCAAAGCAGACAACGCTAAGCTGGTTCCCCTGCCCCGCCTTGATTTGTGCAGAAAACACAATAAAAACGGTGGCCTATGCTTTCCCTTTGCTCCTTCCTGCCTCCTGAGGGCTTCCCCATGTGGCCCCACAGGGTGTGACATGCCCCTTGCTCTGGAGAAACCTAAGCAATAAAGCACTTTCAATGGCATTAAGCTCTCCTCTTCACGTTGTCACTCAGTCACCTCCATAAATTAAAATCTCAGGGGCACAATTGTTGACACAGTCAAGCGCTTTACCTGTCACAGACTTTATGAAGTATCATAAGAGCAATAGCCAGCTGTTATGCATTGAGTAGTATATGCCATCATGGCGAGGAGAAGTTTCCAATCAGATCTCCTCTGCTCCTCAAGTAAGTAACCCTGAGAGGCGAGGATTATTCAATCCAGTTTTGGGCTGCCCTTGACCACTTGAAGCCCAGAGCCCCCAGATGGAAGGAAATCAAGAGATGCCTACCTTTCAGGTGGAATGTTATCCGTGTTACTGCTGTGGCGTCTCTGCATTTTCCTTAAGACCTGAAAGCCAACACATGGCATAAGCCAGAGTCTCCCAACATCTCCACTGCCTGCCAGGTTGCTATGGTAACTATAAATAAGGATTACTTATATCTCACATCCCTAGAGCTCTCTGACATTTTCTAAACCTTGTTTCCATCTGCTGTGCCACTCAATATTCGATCCTATAGAGGAAGGTGTTATATCCCATTTCCCAGATGCAGATGTTAAGACCCAGACATGAAAGAAATCCTCATGGGAGAGAAGAAAGCAGTGAATTGTGCAGCGAAGAGGTGATGGATAAGGTGAAGTGGGCAGCGGACTGGCAGCAGGAGACATGGGTTCTGGACTGGTGCTGCCCCTAACTTGCTGTGTGACTTTGGACACATCAGTACCCTCTCTGTGGCCCCAGATGCCTCCTCTGTTAAATGGGAGGGGGTGGAGTGGCTCAACCCGAAGCTTCTTTCTAGTGCTCACATTGACTAAAGAGGTGATGAAGATGTGAATTCTCATGGAGACAAGTCACCTTGTTCACTGTGAGGAGCCACATGGACCTCAGAACTCCATGATGATGACTCCTGAGGCAGGCATTCAGGGGTCCCGATGGGGATGTGACCACTGGATTCCAGAGAAAGCTGGCCTCCCTTTCCTCTTCCTCTCCTGATGGGTGCACGGGTCAGGGGAATTTATGAGAGACTCCAAACCCTGGATGGAACAGAACACATACACTAATAGTCCATGGATATCGTGGACCTCAGAATAAGTCTTGGGGCATCATGGGTAGTTATAAGAATAGGGCCCTGTCTACTCCAGATCTGTGGTTAGCCTCTCACTGATTCCTCCTTTCTTAAAAAAATTATTTATTTTTAGAGAGGGGAAGAGAGGGAGAGAAACATCATGCATGGTTGCCTCTCACATGCCCCCCCACTATGGATCCGGTCAGCAACCCAGACATGTGCCCTGACTGGGAATCGAACCTACAGCCCTTTGGCTGACAGGCTGGCGCTTGGTCCACTGAGCCACACCAGCCAGGGCTCACTGATTCCTCTTTAGGACTCCTAAGAATGGTCAAGATCTCATTGTATTTTGTTCTATTGTCAAACTGAGTCCTAACTGGGAACAAGGAAAATATTTTTAGAACCCCCCCCCCCCAAGGCTTTCCACTGTAATCAGAATAAAATCCAATTTCAGTTCACAGCCTATAGGTTCTATCTGATGGACCTCACCTGTTTCCAACCTCAGGTCCCTATTAATACTCCCTCCGCCACACTGGCCTTTCTGTTTCTCAAACCCCCCCACTGTCCCTGCCTCAGGCCCTTTGAACTTGCTGTTCCTTCTCCCTGGAATGCTTTTCCTGCTGTCTAGTTCCTTCAGGTCAAATGTCACCTCCTCCTAGGGGTCTTCTCTTCTCACTCTTCTGACCCACCATAACATTGCCCTGTTTAATATTCTTCACAGCACTTACCTATTTACACGTTTGCTTATTTATGTATGATGGTTCTCCTACCAGAAGGGAAAGCCATACAAGCAGAGAGTTTGTCTGCCTGGTTTGCCCCTTTACCTCAGCATCTGGAACACTGCCTGGCACAGTGACACTCAACAAGTATTTACTGAATGAGTTGAACGTCTGTGGGTCCCTCAGTTACCTTTTCCTACATCCCTTGCACCCTCTCAGACTTTTCGCCCAAGAGAAGAAAAAAAGGTAGGAGACTTTCCATGGATAGGTTTAAAGTCCTTGAAAAAATTTTCTGCATCACCAAATATGCTATCTGACTATTTTAGTTCAGGACACCTTAACTGGCTGTTGAATGACTTCCTAATGCTGACTAGCCTTTTTCAGGGGTCAGCATTGGTGTTACTGGAGCCATTGATTAAAGAGAGAACCCACTAGGTAAGCCTCCTTTCTCTTTTGGAAAATCAGCTAAAAAATGGGCCAGTAGCACCACTTCATATATGAAAGAAGGCTTATTATGTAAATACTTCTGGACTCTCAGAACTTGCAATGTCAGCTTAATGCTCTCCTCCCAAGATAACCCATCACCTTCAGATCCCTGGAGAAAATAAAATATAGTATCCCCAAGCTTCCATTCACAAATCTGACCCAGCCTCCCAAATCCAATGCCCAACATTCTATTTTCACATGTTTGATTTCAAAGGAGCTCCAAATTCCCTGTTGGAAGCAGGCCGTAAAATTATTATTCCAATATTGAAGGGCGGAATAAATTTTTGCACGTGGGATGCATCTCAATGAAATCTCTGCTCCATGCATCATACTACATCCCAAAGATGAATTACATCAAGACTTTTCAATGTATGCTATATTTTAGGCTGAGAGCTCGGCGTTACCTGACTGCGGCGAAATGCATTCAGGAGAGCACCTTCTGCATTACTTGCATCGGAGGAGGGCAGGTGCACTTTGGGTACAATGCCGCGAGCGTTTTTCATTCCTGCAGCCGACGGTCAGCGTGCAAGGGCTGGAGGACCAAGCGGACCATCCCAAAGGGAAAAAAAAAAACCGCGTTCTGTTTCTACCTTCTGAGACGATTCAGCAATCACAGCGGCATCATTCACGTCCTTCCAAGCCAATCACTCTTGCAGCCCGGGGAGCACGTGACTCCCGAGTGCTTCCGGCTTCTCCTGGGATTCTTTCTGGGGTCGACTGGAGCCGCACTAAAAACCCGGCATAGCTCCTCCCACCTCTCGCACATGATTGCCCGCCCCTTCCCCAGATTCAGCCAATAGGAAGTCACCTCTCCCCAGAGACCAATGGCAATGAGGATGAGACAGGAGGCCTGGTGACGCAAGTGGGGGGCGGTGGAAGCGTGGTCACACGGGGCGGTGCAGGCCGGTCGTCCGGAGCTGGTTAGGGTGAAGGTGGGCGGCTGGGCTGGCTCCCGGCGTGAGGGATGGGGCTGCCGGCCGCGTAGGGGCCATGCCGCCCGGACCCCGGGCCTCCCGCGTTTCGCGCCCCGGCCGCTGCGCCCCACGTCCGCGCCGGTATGGTGAACCTGGCGGCCATGGTGTGGCGCCGGCTCCTGAGGAAGAGGTGGGTGCTAGCCCTAGTCTTCGGGCTCTCGCTCGTCTACTTCCTCACCAGCACCTTCAAGCAGGTCAGTGGCCGGTCGCCCTCCCGCTTTTGTTCCGGGCGCCGCGGGCAGCTCTCTCGGCCGCCCGGCTTCCTCCCCGGGCCGGGGGGCTGCCTCTGCGGCTGCAGTGCCCCTGTGCCCGGGCAGGTGGGCATTTCTGACCCGGGACGGAGGACGGGCGGAGGGACCTGCTCGTTCGTGGGTGCCTGGGCGAGAAGGCGCTCCTAGGACAGCGGCTGGGACTGGAACCCACGGCTGTGGGCCCTTCCGCTGGCGGTTATTACCCTTGTAGCCCCTGCCTGCTTTCTCTCTTCCCCGCCGGTGTGCGCTTCTCAGCGCATCTTCGCCGCTGTCCTGGCGGGTGGTGGCCCCGGGTGACACCGGGAGACCGCGCCTGGAGAGGCGGAGTGGGCTGGGCCACCCGAGCTGTGAGTGGCCCACAGCCCACCTGTGGGGCTTCGTTTAGTTCGGGGGCTCCGTGGTCCACCTGGGAGACTCAACAGGGCCCACGGGGCGCCGTGTCTGGGCGTAACTGGGGTGGGGTGCTCGTTTCACCTCCTCTTTCCCTTCGAGTTAATTCCACGTGAGAATCTGTGGGAGAAAAGACAGGGCGCTTTAGTGGAAAATGTTCCCCAGAGCAGTAGTTAAGTTTTGAAGTCCCTCTTGAACGTTATGGGTTTTTGGAGGGGATGAACATACCCCAGGATCTTACAGTTATTAAAAGCCCCCTTTCACTCCCACGGGGCAAGTTCACAAATAAAATACATCCGTGAATAGAAAATTAATATACTCTGTGGCCACCCTAGTTTTAACGGGTTGGCAGGGGAGCCGCGAAAGGGGGAAGCTGGGGAACTGTACTCTACCCCCCACGTAGGCAGACAGAGGCTTGGTGTTGGAGGCCGCTTTTTATTCATTGGGATGTGTGGTTCATATTTATGTAAACTTAAGTGTTTCCTGCCACCTCACAGACACCTTCTCATGGTCACGTGTTGTCCTGTCTCTGCCCCCCCACTGCTGAGTGTTGGGAGTGAGCCATACTCCACCTCCCTCCCTACCTGATGCAGGTGATCTCTGGCATCATTGTTTAAATACCAACTGTGTGCTCCCCACGTCCTAGTTCCTAACTTCAGCCTAGTCCTGTCCAGAAGACCCCCGGTTCTGTTATCTTCTGCCTCCAGAATCTGTGTCCTGGGTTTGATCATATCTCCTAACTGTCACTGCTGCCACCTGAAGTCAGGCTACCTGCCTGGACTGCCGCCACAGCCACCAGCTGGTCTCTGCTTCCCTTCTTGTCCCCCAGTGGGTACTCTGCCCAGCAGAAGGGGGATAGTCAGTCACTCACTCGAGCACGGCCCTTTGTGTGTATCTGTGGGTTCCTACTGCAGACTCACTCCAGACTCTGTCCCAGTCCCAGCATCGCGGGGAACCTTGCCTGTCGCCTCAGGTCAGGGCCTGTGACTGCGTCACCCTCCGGGGTGACTCAGAATAAACTGCTTCCCCTTGCCCGCGGACCTGCTGTGTTTTCTTTGGGGCAGACACCAAACATTCCTTGTTCATTTACTTGTTTGTCTGTCTCTGTGTACTGTCCCTTCCACAGTGTGATTCTGTCCCTTCCACAGTGTGATTTTCTCGAGAACAGAAACTTGTGTTGTTCACAGAATCCCAGCCCCTAGATTCTGCCAGGCACCTCACGGGCACTCAAATATTGGAACAAACAAGTGAGTCTTTTTCATGGGGATGGCTTTTCTTCTCAGTTGGGCACTTTCCTGCTCGTTTTTCTTTTCATGTCTTGAGGCAGACGCTGTCTCCTCTATCTACAGTCTCCCTCTAAGTGCTGAAGTGCACCTTGTACATTTCTTTAAATTGACCTTTTTAAAAAACAAAACCTGTGATTTATGACAATTGGCTTCTCTGGGGGGTGGGGGGCAGTGATTGTGATTTTCCTAAAAACTTGGTAAACTTGTTGCTGTGCAGATGTCTCCGGGTCTGATTCCAACCTCTCTCCACTCCCCCCCAACCCCAGCCTAACAAACACTAAAGAGTAAGAAACCTGGAGCTGTAACTTTGTATCCCTGCCGGTCAGCCGCTGACAACCACTAGTCAACTTTCTGTCTCTATGGACTTGCCCGTTCTGGACATTTCTTATCAATGAAATCTTACAATACGTGGTCGCCTGTATCTGGCTTCTTTCCCTTAGAAGCCTGTGATTTCAAGGTTTGTCAATGGCCTAGCATGTGCTGCTACTTCGTCTTTATGTCCGGGTAATACTCTGTTGTATGCACCAACCACGTTTTGTTTTTCTGTTCATCGGTTGGTGGACGCTTGGGTGGTCTCCACCTTCTGGCCATTATGAATGGTGGTATTCTGTACGTTGGTATCCAAGATCGTGTTGGAAACAGGTTTTCCTTCCCTTGCATTTGGCCCTGGGAATGGAATTGATAGCTCCTGCGGTGACTTGCCGTGGCCCTGGGAATGGAATTGATAGCTCCTGCGGTGACTTGCCGTCTCACTTTGTGAGGACCTGCCAGACTCCTTTCTAAAGTGGTTGCACTGCGCAGTGTGCGCTTCAGAAGCCGTGCCTGTCAGGAGGGCCTGATGCAGTTTTAAAGAAGGTGATACAGACTTATCTGGAAAAGGCATTGAATTGTCCCTCCCACTTCCAACTGCACCTCCGCCTGAGGTGGGTTTGCTTCATGTGCCGCAGCCTCGACACCACACTGCGGCAGACGAAGTGCAGAGGGAGACAGGAGGATCCAGCTGTCTTCCATTAAGCCAGACATTGAAAAGATGTGCAGAAATGTAAAAACATTTTCTCTTCTCAATTTCTCCTTTAGTTTTGAAAAAATATTTTTTTTCGCACCCACAAAAAAAGGATAGTTGATGTGTAAATGGGTTCATTGTTAGAGGGATAAGTAATGTGTTGAAAACTTGTATTTTAAGAACTTGTTTTAATTTTCAATATGATAAATATCAACAGCCACAACCCTGCAAACCCTCATATTGCAGGTCCTCAGTGATTTTTAAGGGTATGAAAAGATCTTTGGAACCTGAAACTTGGCTGATGCTCTCCCCCGTGCATTTAAGCAGGCTGCTCCGGCGCTGCTCTGGCTCTGCTCTCTGCTCTCAGCTAGGTGACTTGAGGTGTATTTGCTTCATTTTGCCCACCCCCAGGTTCCTCATCTGTACAGTGGAGATGGTAATAAGGATGGGGGGTGGGTGGCAGTTAGGGGTCATTGAGAAGAAGCCAAGGAAAACTTCAGAACTCCTTATGGTCCTGAGCTCTGCTTCAGGGAGACCATGAACTCCTGGAGCAGACATGGTGCTTTTTGCCTGGAGAATAGTTGATTATCCTCTACTGCTTTGAATTCCTCTTTTTTTATGTGTTTTTTGTTGTTGTTTTCATGTTAATTAATGCTTTGGGGGATAGTTTAAATTGTAGAGAGGGGAGTATAGGAGAAATTAGTGATAATGGTGGGGATGCCATTGAGGGAGAGGATTGGGAATGGTGAGTGGTGCCAGGTGACTTGGAACATTTATTTAACGAATGTTCAGCGAGCAGCAACTGTGCGAGGAGGCACTGTGGGCGGGATGGTGAAGATGTGGTGAGAGGCAGCCCTCTCCAAGAGCCTCTGTCCTCTGGCGGGGGGGGGGGCAGCAGGAGTGGCAAAAAGGCAGTTTTTTCAGATAATGATGTAAAGGAAACAAAACGAGATGCTGCGAGATGCTGCGGTAGCTCCGCAAGGTGGACTGAGCTCCAGGGGGCATGTGAGCTGAGACTGCAGAAATCCCAGCCCTGGAGTCGGGAGGCCCTCGGAGGCCCTTCGTGGTCGTAGGTGGTCTCAGACTTGTCAGGTGGAGCAGCTCCTGAGCATCACCGGCTGTTTGCATAACTCCTTGAAAATCTATTCTGGTCTTCACCTTTAAAGTAATTAACTATGTAAATTGATGCCAATTCAGATACTGTCCAAGGCTAAAGTAGAATCATAAGAGTTGCTAATCTGTTGTTTGCTTTTCACTGATCACCAGTGTACATGCATTTTCCAGAAAGTTCGTGCAGCACTACACAGGGTCGAGGAGGAAAGTCACCTGCAGTCTTTGCAGCCAGAGGGACTCACTGATGACTTTTGGGCACACTTTCTTCCTTCATTTTTCATATTTTAAAAATATAACTGGGGTATACCTTTTCTTCATTTAATATGTATGCATTATCTTTGGTTTTTTAAAATGAATTATTTATTTATCTTTAGAGGGGAAGGAGATAGGGAGAGAAACATCAATGTATGGTTGCCTCTAGTGTGTCCCCTGCTGGGAACTGGCCTGCAGGGAACTGGCTTGCAACTCCAGCATGTGCCCTGACTGGGAATTGAACCTCGATCCTCTGGTTCGCAGGCTTGTGCTCAATCCACTGAGCTACACCAGCCAGGGCTTATCTTTGTCTTTAAAAGTGTTTTGTAAGTGCAGTTTTTTTTCAAAGATTTTATTTATTTATCTTTAGAGGGGAAGGAGAGGGAGAGAAACATCAGTGTATGGTTGCCTTTCATGCACCCCCTGCTGGGAACTGGCCTGAAACCCAGGCATGTGCCCTGACTGGGAATTGAACTGCGATCCTCTGGTTCACAGGCCTGTGCTCGATCCACTGAGCTACTACACCAGCTAGGACTTCAGTTTTTTAATAATTTAAAACTTTTATGATCTGGTTACATTTAGCCATTCCTCAAACATTAGGCATTTGGAATACCTCCTGACCTGTGTGTGTGTGTGTGTGTGTGTGTGTGTGTGTGTGTGAATCATAAGCAGATCTTTTAATGACAGTGCCTTCTGTTTAAGTGCTTTAGTATTTAGCTAAGACATTTATCTCATTTGACCCTTATAACCTCTGAAAAATAGGGCAGTTAATTAATATACCTCCTTTAAAATCAGAGGTCAGTAACACACATTCGTACTAAAAACATTTTTGTAGCTCCTTACAGCTTATGAAGACAGTTCTTGTGTGTGTTCCTTTTTGTTCCCGCTCTTTGCTTTGTGCCCCATTGTAGCCCCTGTGGACATCTGTCGTGGCTGGTGGCACTGATTTCTGATACGTCTTTATCAGCTGCTCTGGAGGCTTTTTGAGAACAGAGAACCTGGCTACCTTTGTCTTTATTTCCTTAAGGCGTTGTAAGGTCTTGATACTTTTCAATGAATCTTGAATGAAAGAAAAAATAGATGATAGATAGATAGATAGCTGAAAATTGAGACAACCTCATAGGGTAGGTGGAACAGTTGGGGAAGGGTTTCAAACCACTGGTCCTATCCAGCAAAGGAACCCCTCAGTGCTCCTTTACCACACCCTGCGCGAGACTGAACTTCCGCACAAGTGAACATGTATTAATTCATTGCTTTTGCCACCTTACACAATCTCTTGTACAGTCTTTTTTTATTGCATAGCTCTATCCAATCCTTTTGGCAAGGTCTTGAATATTCATGTTTGAAAACAATTTCAAGAGCTGGGAGAATTGCCTTCCTGTTTACCAGGAATGTCGTTATGTGGAAGAGGTCCTCCTGGGATGCACTTGTCCATGAACTCTTGGTTTTTTTTTTCTTTTCCCCTGGAAGAATAACAGGATAGTTTGAGAGTAATGTTAAGAGCACTTTTAACCTTGTAAGATCCAGTTTACTGTACTTTGACCAGCCTCTTAACAGTCTTTATGGCTGTTAATTTACCTAGGGCAGCATTTGACGCTCAGTTGAGTTTGCACATAGCTTGATTATGCAGTTAACTGATGGGTCCCAGCAGAGCAGAGGAGTATGAATTTACAGGTAGTTAAGCAGTATGCTCCTGAGAGAGTTGCCCCATATTCCCAAGGCTTCTGCACTTAGCTCCTCTCCTTGCATCCACGGAGGAATACAGATGTTGTTTTTGTACATCCCATCTTGTGCCTGCCGATGCCAGTTCTTTCCTTTAAAAGAAACAAAAGGGCGGGGCGGAACAGAAATGAAAGCCACCTTGAGGGATTGGTTTACACGTAGTGAATTAAAGAACAAAATCCAGTCTTAGTGTGGAGGTGGTAGAATTGTAAACATTGTTATGTAAATGCTGGTGATACTGCAAATGGAGTATATAAACTTGGGGAAGTTATTTGGCACCGTATGGCATTGACTAATTCTAGTAATAATCATTAGTACAAATTATTTAGGAGAATAAACAAAAACTACATTGTCATTGCCGTGCTGTCTATGATAAAAACCTGGGCTGGGCTAAATGGCCTTCTGTAGAGGATGTGTTGACTAAATTAGGGCCCATTGACAGGATGGCTGATTAGATAGCCTTAAAAATGTGGTTCTCAAGATGAGGTAGGTGCTCAAATGGTTCGCCATCTAATTAGTGTGGAGAAGTGCGAAACGCAGAGCACCCTCATTTGTAAGTATAAATGCCACGGTCAAAGCCTGGGAGTTAATATGCAGAAGTAGACACAGCTTTATTTAAGTGTTGACATTGTGGGCAATTTCTGTCTTTAATGTTGGTAATTATGTTTTTTAAAAAGTAAACTACTTGTTTTGGAATAATTACAAATTTACAGAAGAGTTTCGAGGATAGTACTGTGTTCCTGTAGATCCCTTACTTAGTGCCTCCCATTGTTAATGGTAATCATGTTTCCAAATCAAAAATGAAAATATTCCAAAGACGCTAAAAGCTGTTCATAATCACTTATGTCCCTTCCATGTTGCTAGTCTCCAGTGTACCCTTCCATACTTTTATCATGGAGCACTAACAGATATCTAATATATATTAGAATATAATCGTGACAGTATGCACATTATTTTGCAACTTGCTTTTCTCACTTAATAATATGCCGTGCACATCCAGTGGTTTGCAGCCCTGTCTGTGTGTTCTGTCAGCTCACTGCTTTTAAAAATACTGACTTCCAGGTCCCATCCACAGAGATTTTTACTCAGTCTGGAGTTGGCCTCAGAATCAGAAGGTCTTTTAAGGTCCCTCCATAGTCTAATGTGAAAGTCAGGTTTAAGAACGACTGCTGTAGATAAATACCTGTCAGTCATACCCAGGTTCTCTGACGGCCGCAGGTGGACCAGTGTTCATTCACTTATCTCTCTGTTGTTGGGTTTCTGGGTTTTTTCCTACAACGTAAGCAGTACTGTGTAAATGTCCTGGTGCATTTTTATACTTTGGTACTTTCCATAGGAGAGGCCTCAAAAATGTGTTTGTGGGGCCCAAAATGTATGTGGATATGTGTTAAATATTAATAACTCAGACTGCTTTCCTAAAGAAATCTTGGTAACTATAAAGATCCTTTTGCTTGTTTTCAAGTATACTACCTTTGCCATCACTCTTTCAAAGTTAGCTCTATTTGCTTAGTGACACTTGACGGATTATTTTAAATTATTTTTAAATTAAATTAATTGAGGTAACATTGATTAATCACATTCTTAAAGGTAAAAGACACAGAACTCTGTTGAAAATGGTGGGCTGTTTAAAGCATATAAAAAGCCCTCAGGATGGGGTCTTCTGTAAGATTTCAGAAGGCGGCTCTGCGTCCCGTGCTTGGCTTGTTTCTGGCGCTCCCCCATCTTCCTCTGGGTTCCTTTACTGGCGCAGTGTAGGAAGGCAGTTTTGAAAGCTCAGCCACAGCTTGAAGGCTATTGGGAAAGGTCTGAACTCTTGTTCCCAGAGCAGCTCTTCCCTTTGTATGTCTAGGTAAAGGGCTGGCTGGCAAGGACGTCTTTTGTAAAGAAAGGTGTGTGGTAAGGATTAGTACACTCAGTATGTTCTCATAGAAGAAACTTATAAATTGACATTATGCCTCCTGCCCCCAGTCAACCCCAGGATTCGGTCGTCCACTGAACGCCGTGCCACTGAGTACTCGTAACTCCGAATGAAAGTGGCCTTGTGCTTTGGGTGTGTCTGGCTATTGTTTGAAACGGGAGTTGTGAAATTTCTTGGAAGTCCCTTCTATTTTACAGTCTATTCCACAATGTATTTGTTTTAATATAAAAGTATATTTTAAATGATTTGCCATCAGAAAGAAAAATGTTAAAGCTTTTTTCCTCCCAATTTTTTTCCACAAAATCGACCCTTCTGTACACATTAATAATGTGCGTGTCACCCAGGGGCATTCATGTTAGTATCCAGTTGTGGCGCACAGCCCGAATGTCACCTTTCCCTATTTTCCTGCATTTGATTTCCGGACTTTGGCTCAGATTTCGCACATACCAGGGGGGTGCAGGTTCCTGTTGGGCAAGCTTTTAAAAGTTGTGTCTGTCCTGTTGTTGCAGTTCCCATGAAAAAATTGGTGAAAATGCAAGAAATGATACTTTAATCTTCTCATTTATGTTCTCTTCGTAGGAGGAGAGGGCAGTGAGAGATCGGAATCTCCTCCAAGTGCAAGACCACGATCAGCCCATTCTGTGGAAGGTGCAGTTTAACCTGGGCAATAGCAGTCGGCCCAGCAACCAGTGCCGGAACTCCATTCAAGGGAAGCACCTCATCACGGACGAGCTAGGTTGGCTGGCTTCCTTCTCCTCCTGCAGGCAGTGAGGCGCTCCGTCCTGGCCACTCGTAGGGTTTATAAGTAGGAGTTTATACAGTACCCGTGCCCTTCTTGCTCATGTCCAAATTTCTCATACTTTCTTTGTCTTCCATACTTATTAACTCATTGTTCAAGGCTCCCCTCAATATCAGAGAAGCTTGGTTTGGTAATTCTGAAGTTCCTGTAGCATAGAGTATTAGCATTTCATCATGCAGCAGCCCCTAAGCTACTTCCTGCCGGTCTCTCTATAGCTGGCCAGTCTTTCTTCTCATCTTGGTCAACTCTGTAGGGTAGGAGCTCAGTGTTCCTCCTTGGTGACCCGACCTGCATTCACACAGCATTGGCACTTAGAGAAAGCACTGATTGATGGCTGCCTGGATAACCTCAAGTGAATTGTAAACACATTAAAAATATATCCCTCTCACAGTTAAAAATATTAGTCTTTCTTTTGGTGCTTTCTCCCAGAGTGTCCTTGCATCCTAAAAGGTGACCCCTGTGCTGGTGAGGGAGTTGGGTTAGACGGCTGCTGAAGTGCTTGCCCCTTTAGGACTGGCTCAGTCTTCCCAAAGAGACTCCCACGAACCCGCAGCCTGCCTCACCTGAGCTGGTCCTGTGTGCTGGGCACTGGGCTGGAGCTCCCCTCGAAGATCTCGTTTGACTGCAGCAGTCCTACGAGGTCTAGGTGCTGCTATAATCCCTGTAAAGATACTGTCACTCTGTAGCTGAAGACATAGGCAGCAAGATTTAAGGAAGTGAAGGAAAAAGCAAGTAGCATTGCAAATAACCTGTATTTTTGCTTTTAACAAAGTTTGGCAAAGGGAAGTGACTTCCATAGGATGACAGCTAATGGGCATGCAAGATGTGAGACCAGGACCAGGACTGAATTTGGAGTTCAGTGCTTTTTTCCCTTGTAGACTGTTTCATTTGTATGACACTCAGTGAGAAAACATGAAATCGATGCCTTGGCTTTAATATTTAATATTAGAGTAGAACGGGGGCGGTGGTGGTGGCAGCGCTGGACTGAGTGCAAATATTACAGAATCACTGTAATTCCTCAGAGGCTCTTCAAGTTCCCCTTGGCCCTGTAGTGTGTGGTCTCAGTCTGCTTGAGGAGGAATGTGGGCACAACAGCAGTGCTGTTTAGTAAGGAGCTCGATTGTGCACAGAAACTCTTCATGAACAAGGTGCGAGAATACAGAACGGAAGCGACAGTCATCTGGAGGACCTGTTGACAGGGGCCCAGAGTACCGGCAGGATTTGGAGAGGGAGCTGTTTAAGCTTAAGTAAATGTACGGTGAAGCAGACATGAGCGCATTCCCTGACTTAGGAGTTGAAGACCCCAAATTTGAAGTCATCGATAAACTCCCGTCCTGGTAATTTTCACTCAATAAGTTGTACAACTGATCAGAAGTACCAGAATAAACATACATTTCAACAACAACAAAAGATTTACTACCAAATATGAATGACAACTTGTTATTTTGTAGCTAGCCAAAGAAAAATTTTCTTCTGATTAATTTGAGACAAAGGCTCTCAGACTTCTTAAGTAAAAAGTTGCAAGAATCAATTAAAAGTTCAACGGCCATAGATAATATTTTACCTTTGTGAATATGGGAGAAGAGAGAAGCAATTTAATAAAGAAAACTTGCAGGAATTTATGCCTTTGAGGAAGCAGATGTCACCATGAATATTGCCAGGGTTGCACATTATTAATAAGACAACCAATTAGAATTTCAGGCTTTCAAAGGTCAGAAGTTAATTTCTCAGTCAACAGCAACACATTCCGCAGTTACAATCCTACGTGATTCCTGGTTGGAAATGATGTTTGCGTGGTTAGGTTTATGATGCACAAGGTGAAATCTTGATGAGCTTTCTTTCACCAGAAATTTAAGTGGCTACTGGCACAGTGGCTACTGTGGCTACTGGCAGTTAGCACTGGGGAGAAAATGAAGGCCTTAGAATATGGAAAAGAGAAAAGGGCAGAAAGATTTCAACAAGTTGAGTTTAGGTCACATTACATTTTACATCTTCCTGACACCAAAGTGGTAAGTTTGCTGTGTATTTATCATTCATGGCAGAATTTTGAGAAATGTGTTGGCTTCCTTGGGTTTTTGTTTTATCCTCACCCGAGGACTTGTGTATTGATTTTAGAGAGAGGGGAAGGGAGGGAGAGAGAGAAACATCGATCGGTGGCCTCTCCTACACACCCTGACCAGGGACTGAACACCCAGCCTAGGCTCATGCCCTGAATGAAAATCGAACCCACAGACTTTCACTTTACAGGATGATGCTCCAACTAAGTGAGCCACACCAGCAAGGGCTGGTTTTTTGTTGTTGTTGTTACTTATTTATCATCACGATGAAGAAAATGAATTAGAATAGTTAGGAAGAATGTCAGAAACATTTGCGATGCGATGGCATTAGAATGTCAAAAAGTAACCAAGCACACCAGCTCTGTGGTAAGCTCAGTTTTTCGAGTGTGAAGGCTCTTTTAGACTCTTCCATTGTCATTCTACTGCCTCTCGCTTTTGCACAGACTTTGTTTTCCAGAGTAGTTTCTGAAAACAGCCTTATGCTTCACCTAGTCTCATTCTCTGAGGGTTAAGAAGCTGGGGCACTTCGAATGGAATGACCTAGGAGCAGCTGCTCCGCACCTGTGGGCCTGGGCCTGCACCTGTGAGCCCGTGGGCGCACCTGGGAATTTCCCAGGGGCCAAGTGGTGTCCCTTATGCACTTCTCACATTTTTCTTTCCCATTCCCACAAGGATGTGGAGAAATGTCTGCTTAGCAGCTCTGAACAATAAACTTTTGCGGGGCAGTTCTTTCCCTAAAGTTGAGCGTGGATTGGCTGGGTTGAAGGAAGTGTGTGTAAATATTTGATGGGATTTATGAGGAGTGAAGGAAATTGGGATTTAGAGGACTCCCTTTCCCTGATGCTGAGCGGTAATTGAAGACTTGGCATGTATACTTAAAAACAGCCTAAGTTAATTTATAGAGGTCGGTGTGACTGCTATTTTAAAAGATCCTCTAAACTGTTAAATAAATGGAAAGCATTTGAAAGATAGTTGCAAAGGGAGGTGGTGGTGTGGTGTTTTTTAAAAATTTAATCTAGAAGGATCTGACTTTCTACAATTAATGCCTTTGTTGTTCCTATTTTCAGATCTTTTGTTTGAAAAAATGGACACTTTTCTTCAGGCATAGATGAAAAAATGGCTTGCCTGGGTTAGGACAGGATACCACAGGTGTGCCTGGCAGGGTGATTAAATCAGATGCACAGTAGCAGACTAACAGGTTATTTTAGGTACATGAGGATGCAGCACCGACTTGCCCTATGGGAGTTCATGGTTTTTGTAAAGGACCACACTTGGGAAGTGCGTCCGCTCCACAGAGTCTCAGACTCCTACCTGTTTGGTGCTTTGGACGCTCCAGACTCCAGTTTCTGTCTCCTCCTCGTGCGCAGTGTGTTCGTCGCTGCATCCAGGTCACCCCTGGTAGGGGGTTGGGAGGCCTGCTGGTCTTATACTCAGGGTAGTCTCTGGCTTGCAGGGTACGTCTGTGAAAGGAAGGATTTGCTGGTGAATGGCTGCTGCGACGTCAACGTCCCTGGCACCAAGCAGCACTGCTGTGACGGCTGCTTGTCCAACGGCTGCTGCAGCGCCTACGAGCACTGCGTTTCCTGCTGCCTGCAGCCCAGCAAGGTACGGAGAGCTGCTCCCGGTTCTGCGTCTGCTCTCGTCTTTCTGCTTTTGTTTTACCACGAGTCTTGGGTTCTTCTGAAAGTCGAACTAAAAGGGAACTTCATAGGTGTCAGAAATCGCTGCTGTGAAGTAGCCTTTGTCTACAAGGGGGGAGGTGGTTCCCAGTTACTTGAATGGTTCTTTTGCGGAATGGGCCGTTGTGTTGCTAATCAGATTTCTAATGAATAAGATACCAGTGCTCTGGCCCCTTTGAGCGGGCAGTCTCCCTCTCTCTTACCTCCACCCCATCCCCCTTTCAGCAGTCTCTTAGTTTAGGACAAATAGACAAGGTTACCTTGTGCTGCTGAGTCTGGAATTTATTACAGGTGCTTGCTTTTGTTTCCATAGCAACTTCTCCTGGAGCGGTTCCTCAGCCGGGCAGCTGTGGCATTCCAGAACCTCTTCATGGCAGTCGAAGATCACTTTGAATTGTGTTTGGCTAAATGCAGGACCTCTTCCCAGGTCAGCAGCTCTGATGTTTGTAGCCGGAGGCTGGGCAGGTGGGAGTAGGATTGAAAGAGAACAGAATTATGATAATGGAGGGGTGATTATGATCGAGTGTATGGTATGAATGATAAAAGAGAAAAGATTCACATGAAGCTTTGGTGGAGTGCTAGTGTTTAGAATGTCAACGTGAGATTTATACAAGTTAGAGGAGTGAAATGTTTGTATTAGATCAGGGTAGGATCACCTCGAACCCCCCTGTCTGATGGGCACACGCACACTCTAAGTGGGACCCTAGAATTATTTTTACGTCTGGGTGGAATGCAGACGTCCAGTTTCTGAGAGAAGTTCTTTGGTCTTTGACTGAAATTTAACTAAGGATTTCCAGCAGCCACTCATTGACAGTAAGTATTCATTTGTTCTGGGACAGAGTTATGGTATATTTTGGGATTCGAGGGTTGGGGAAGGTGGTGTTTAAATGTGTAGGTTGTCAGGCTCTCCGTACTTATAAGCATGCTGTCATTAAATTCTTTGCTCTTTGGGCACTGAGCGCTGCACCTGCTGCCGAAAGCGCCCGAAACTCTTGCTTTCCATCACTCTGTGTCCTCGGCGCTCTGCTTCCATGGTGGGCGACAGGGGGGCTGTCTTTGTAAAATCACCAGCCGCGCTTGCCGTACAAGCACACTTCTCCTGGCTTCTATTCATGGTGTCTCCTAGATTGTGCTGGCTTTGTCTGAGATACATGACTCATTTGTCATTTTGGGGGACTCCGTACCCTTTGCCAGATTTCCGCAGTCCACCTTTTGATTTTACTCCACTTTCCATGTCTCAGGTCTGCTCTCAGAGCACTCGGCCTCACTGGGTAAATGTTTCAGGGATTATAATGAACATTTGAAAACATGAAGGAATTCCTGATGGGCTTGTTTTGTTGTAAGAGCTTTCCACTTGAATGGGCCTTAAAGGAAATGGGGAGGGAGCCTAAACACATGACTCATTCTGATTCAGATCCTCTCTCATTCTGAGAACGCCAGAAAAGGCGAAATATTTTCTTTCCTTAACTGATAAAACTCAAGAGTTACTCCCACTTGCAAGTGAAGATGCTAAACTTTCTGACTTAAGTCTTTTTATTGTAAAAAGAGGCTTCCCAGCTGCCAATTGTTTCGATAGAATCCCAAGAAAGAGAATCTTTTGGCTACACATCTGTAAATTGGATTAAAACTTACAAGGTAGATGTTTAGTATTGGTCTTGGGCTAATTAATGAACTGTACACTAGCCAAAAACTCAAGTTGCCTGTATGAAAACAAATTGCTGAGAAAGTAGCCATCGAGATGATTGTCTGCTCTAACTCACACTTCCCATTTGCTCAGCCAAATGAGGCTTGTCTGGTATTGTGAGGTTTGGCTAGGGTGCTAGACCTACAGGTACATAAAACTTGATGAAAGCGATTCGAAGTGTGTCTCCCCCATCCCTGCAGGGTTCCGTGCCAGTGACTGAATTTTTCTGAAGCACGTGGTCAGTTGCAAAACACCAACTGGATCCTACTGTAATATAAAATAATTTGAGAAAAAAATAGTTGTCTTGTGTTGCCCAGGCCACAGCGAGATTGTTTAAAAACTCACTAGTGTACATAAAAAGAAACAGCCTTGCAGTGATGGTATGTCCTCTTTCATGCTCTTCCTTGGCGTTCTGCGTTGAGCATTCACCTCTGTTCCAGAAAGTGCCCTGGAACCTTTTGGTGATATTCGGAGGGTCCGAATATCACCTGCGAGGGTCCGACGGCGGTCCTGCTTTGACTTCCACGCCTCCGAGAGCGAGGTGTGTGAGCCTTCTGCCCTCTCTCACGCAGCTCTTCTCCCCCCTCTTGCCAACAGAGCGTGCAGCATGAGAACACCTATAGGGATCCCATAGCAAAGTATTGCTATGGAGAGAGCCCTCCCGAGCTCTTCCCGGCGTGATGGGCGTGGAAGATGGGCGAGCGCACGAGACTGAAGCACTTGCAGCCTGAAGCCAGGCCTCCGCGGTCTCTGGTCCCGTGAAAGAAGGGGGGGTTGTCGTGTGGAGACCTTGGCTTTGACCGCTTCCTGGGTTGGAGTCTGGCTCACTCCCCACCAGACGTTCCCCGGTGGGACTGACCTGCAAAGCAGCTTGGAAGCACTAGCAGGTCACATTTTGAAACAGACAGAACTGCAGATGACCTTGTGGAAGGGGTGGCACTTTGGGCGTCTCTACCGTTGCAGCTGCTCAGGGGCCTGTGGTCACTGGTTGTGCCCAGCAGGGCCCCTCACTGTAAAGTTATTTATTGGATTTCTTTGGATTAGTGGGAAAATTATGATGTTTTATATGGGAAAATGCCTTGCCTTGATTGTTGAATATATTCAAGGGTGTTCTTGTTGTTGTTTTCTTGTGTTCTTGAGTGTCATGAGTTTTAAATCATCCCCTCACCCAGAAGAAATGTTTGGCCACCTTAGAACATGCATGTTCTCAAGGTAGATGTTTCAGTTTTGTTTTAACAGCATCCTCAGGAGTGGGCCTTGGACACTTTATGCTAACATCTAAAATTGTCTAAAATCTCAAAGATATTGTTCCATTCCAATCTGGCACCAAGTGCTCTCAGATTTTTTTCCTAGGGGTGTTTGGGATACTTACATACCTGTGTGTGAGCATCATTTTAACCAGAGATTCTGACCTACTTACTGTCCTGGAGGATTTTGTTTTCATTTCCGGTGAAGTGACTGGTTTACTCAGCCGTGGTCCAGTGGCAGCTTCAGGAGAATCCCGGCAGCCTCTCTGCACCCCTGTCATGGAAACCCCGTGTGCAGGAGGTACATCTGGCAGCCGGCTATCAGCGGTCATCCTTTACGGCTTCAGGAGCTATAACGGGTACAGACGTTTGGTTCCCCTAGGATTTGAGATGAAGAAGAAGAAGTGGAAGAAGATCTAAATTTCCAGCAAGGAGCTGTAAGAGACTTACCGTCTACCCTCAGCGGGACGAGTGACTGAACGCTGGGCGTGCCTGTGTCCCTGGCACAGCAGCCAGTCTGTCCGGGGCCAGCCCGAGGGCGTCTGGCCCTCCGATGAGGGCGTGCCCCTCGAGCGGCACGCTCTGGGCTCTTGGGAGTTCCAGGGACGCACAGCCCCTTCCCGGAGACTCTCACTGACCCCAGGAGGGCTGGGCAAGGCCTTCTTCATTTTTTCGTTGTTCGAGTTGTCGACCTTGGCGCTCTGCACTAGTTTTACCATCTGTTTTTGAAAATGTGTTTTTCGCCAGTGGAAGTTTTCCTTTGGGCCGTGCCTGCCTTTCAGTATGTTTCTGCCGTATGTAGCGGTCATTTCCCTGAACTTCCTCCCAGGACTTCTTACACTTACCTTCCCGAAGTAGTTTGTCCCCATAAGCTAGTTTCCTTAGAGGGTAACCTGTCTGTGGCAATTAGCAATGGACTTTTCGGGTTCTCTGTATTCATCGGTGCTAAATCAGACTTTGTAATGTGAAAGAAATGTGCATGTCGGTATGAGACTTGAGTTTGTTTTCTGTGGTCACTGGTATCGGCTTCGCAATACAGATTCGATGTGAAAAGAGTTACGTCAGAGGTTAACCCGTGGTGTTTGCTTTGTGCTGGAGCGTTCACTAAGCACGCTTTGCATTTTCAGTGCTTTCACAGATGTCTACAGCCTTGCGATCGAGAATTAAGCTCACTTGTATTTCCACCTCCTAGCTGAGGCAATAGTAGGAGGTGAAGTGACTTCCCAGGGTCCCCGCTGAGATCTAATGACAGACCAAAACAAGAACTACTTCTGGGGCTCCAAGTTCGCTGTCCTTCCCACCCGCTCTGACCGGCTCCAACGCTGACTCATCCGTAGGCATCCCCCCGAGAGCAGATAGATTTCAGTTGTCCAGGCCAAAAGAGGGGAGAGGTGGCATAAATAGGCAAATTGGGTTGATAATGCAAAGGTCATTTTCATTTGGCCCTGGAATATGTTTTTTGCACTTAAGCAGGGGTGTGTTCACTGTTTTGGAAACTCCCAACCTGCAGGTGACGTAATGAAAATCACCCGAGGATCCGGCCTGGTGTCCTCAGCCTTCCAACCTAGGACACCTCCCTGCTACCCAATCCCTGCTGTGTTTCTGGTTCCCCTGACTGGAGGTTTCTAGAATTAGAGACCTCGTCTTGGTTTCGTATGCCCAGAACCTAGCAAAGTGCGTAATACATACTGGGATTTTAGGCAAAAATCAAAGAAGGCAAAGACAGCTTTGGTTTAGAAAAAAAAAATTAAATATTGAATGTTTGGGGCTAAAGGTTATTGGGTAATTCAAAGCTTTTCCCCCGACTCTAAATCTCAGTGACTGTGCTCCTTACTGAGGCAGTAAGGGTGAGATGTGTACCCTGGGGAAGAAACTATCAGTAAACTGGGGAAAGGTGCCCGGATGGGCATGCGCAGAGGAGAGAATGACCTGCCTCCTCAGGGCCAGGGACTGGCTGGCCCTCGAGCTTGGCTCTTGGCCCACAGAAGGTAGGATTTTAGAGCAGTGAATATGGTTTTCAGCCTGCTGCTCCCAAAAACTGGCTTGGAGGGCCTTGGGGTTGTGTCTCAGTTGGTGTAGCTGCAAAGAACTCTGGGGAAGGGTCACATGATTTGCCTTTTCCATCGTTGAGGTATATAGGTGAAGTGTAGATGTACAGAGAGGCTGCCTGTTTGGTGTACTCACAGGCGGGAGAATTCGTTCTGTTATTAACCAGGATTTACGAATGGCTTGGCCACGGGCACTCAGGCCCTTCCTCTGTAAAATAGGGTCACATCTGCCCCTCCGGGGGGTGTAGGGTGTGAGTGAGGCCCAGTGCCAGGCAGGAAGTGTGTCTGTAACCATCAGAAGAGTGAGTGGTGGGGGTAGGGTGGCCCCTCAGGTGGAAGGGCTGTAACTGCAGAGCTCTTGGTATTGTTTTTATTCTATTTTTTTTAAAGAATTCGTGCTAAAGGTAAACAATTTCAGATAATTCAGAAATATGTAAAGATGAAAGCAGTAATCTAAAATGATAAATCCTAGAGAGAAGCCCCAGTCTTTTCTCTTCCCTTGTGACTTTTTCTAGGTAGAAATGAAAGAATCCTATACTGGATATCCTTATATATTGCATATAGGCCCATATAATCTTTTAATGACCACAGAGTGTCAATTTCAAGGGATATACAATAATGTTGCTAATCCCCTGCTGAGCACAATTGGCTTATTACCATTTTCTCCTACTACAAGTAAGGCAGATACGCATTTACGTACACACATTTATATGTATCTGATAACTTCACCAATTTTTACTCTCACGTACACTGCAGGAGAGTGTCTCTTTCTTTAGCCATGCTCCTGAGAATTTTGGTACTTTTTTAAAACTTTTTGCTAATGGGTCTCAATGTTCTAATTTGTATTTATTGAATTACTAGTGAGGTGAACCTTTCCGAGTTGTGATTGGCCGTTTGTCATTCACGTGTGAAGTGCCTGTTGGTGGCTCTTACAGAGCATTTTCACATGAAAGAAGCCTAACCCCCTGTCCTTTCCCAGCCCCGTGTCAACGCCTACCTATTGTGTACACAGAGGCAAGTGGCTTCTGCGTCACCTCACTTTTCCAGGTGACCTAGGGCAGCGAATGGGGGCAGTTTTGTCTGGAGATGTTCTTGTCACGATGGGGGTGTGTGGTGCATCTAGTTGTGGGGGCCAGGGACGCTGTGAAACACCCTACAGCAGCCAGGCGAGCCCCTGGGATGCAGAATTTACCCAGTGCTGAACGTCGGTGGTGCTGAGGGGGGAGGCCCTGCTCTCGGGTCCTGCTCCCCCCGCGGGTGGAGCGGAAGAGCCGCGGGAGGCATGAGCGTACTCACTACACCCCTGCCCTCACTGTCTGCGGTGCTGAAGTGCTGCTGATTAAATTACCCCGAAATCCCACGGCACCTGCCGCCTCCTTGCAGGTCTCCCACAGCCCAGCGCTCGCTGCCTCCGGGAGCGACGTTATTCCTCTGCCACCGTGCCCCTTGCCCACCCATGTAACCCGAGGGCAGATGCCCTCCCGTCTGCAGAATAGCCCGGCGGGTTCTCAACAACAGAATCGCTCCCCCATTACCCCCACAGCAGCCCTTTACACAGAGGGGCTGTGGTTGGGGCGTGGGGGCATGAAAGAAATGCCACTACGGGTTCCGTTTGGAGAACTAGTCATTCTGCTACAAAAAGGTGCCACTTAAGTAAATAGTAGTAATTTTTTTAAAAAGCCAGAAGGATGCCCTGGCTGGTGTGGCTCAGTGGATTGAGCAATGACCTTTGAACCAAAGGGTTGCCAGTTCAGTTCCCAGTTGGGGCACATACCTGGGTTGTGGGCCAGGTCTGGGGCTGGGAGGGGGTGGGCAGCGGGGCACATGAGAAGCAGCCACACATTGATGTTTCTCTACCTCTCTCTCCCTCCCTTCCCTTCTCTCTAAAAATAAAATCTTTAAAAAAAAAAAGCCAGAAGGATGATGAGAGTTCTTTCTGCGTGGTCACTTTTCCTGACTCGGCAGGTCAGTGCATCGGCTCCCAGGCCCTTTTGCATGTGGACTTTTTTGCGTAGTTTGTTCACGGGGGGAGGACAGTTTGGGCACCAGTGTCCCTGTTTTCATGTAGTCACGTGTCCGTGACGTTCCTCGTGCAGTCTGCTTTCCCATGAGGAGGAACAGCTGGCGGCCGCCGTCTGCCGTGAGTGGGAGAGCAACGTGGGTCCTTCTTGTGCGGCGACGCCACGTCCCAGCGGGGTCTCGTCTCTTCCTTGTGTCTGCACACCTTGATTGACGTCTGGTGTTAAAGCCGGCCCCGACTGCTGGACCTGCCGTAGAATGAAAGTCTAATAAAACAATTCAGTTTGCCGGTTACAACCAGTGGGCGAAGCAGTTCATCTGGATGTTTGCACAGGGGTCCAGTTTCATTATTTCCCAGAACTGCACAATCTGTGGGCCCAGAGGGACCCCAACATGTCACTGCCGGATGCACATCATTTCCAAGTTGGGCACTTGGACAGTTTTTGGGTAGGGTAAATAGTTTTTGCAGTCTATGGACCTTCGCAGTTCATACATTTTTTTATGCAACGTAGAGCGGGCCAGCGCTGGTCAGCTTGCATCCGGATTATCCCAGAATCAAGGTGGTATTGGCTGGTGGGGAGATCACCCTTACCAGTGGAAGTCAAGATTCAGACTGTGGCCGCACATCACTATTGCCCAGGAGCGTGTGTGGGGGCGGCAGCAGTATGTCCGATGAGAGCGGCACTCCGATCTCATTGATGAGCACAGGCGTTAACATCCCTGAGTGAGTGAATCTCTTCTGGCTTTGGTGTCCTCTTGCAAAGGGGAAACCAAAAGTCCCGTCTTGCAGAGCCAAAGTTCTGATTTTTTGTGACTAGCCAGAGACCACACTGCGTGTGAAGGCAAGACCAGAGCCCGTGCCTCCCAGAAGGTGGGTCCTGGCCTTGACTCTCACAGGGTGAGTGGAGACCAGCCATCTGGAGCCCATTTGCCGCAAACCAGTGCTTCCCCTCTCCTGAAGATTACAACTGGGGCTAGTGGCCATTTTCTGCCTCTTCCTCCTCAAATTTTAAATAGACACCATATTCTTCTCTGCTGGGACCAACTTAACCACGTATTGCTGCTCTGCACCTGTGCAGACAGCTGCTGTGTCTTCCATCATAGGAACAGCTGCCTTGTGGCAGGAGGCAAAGGCCTGCACTCGGTAGCCGCACCTCAATCCCGTGCTGAATTATTTAGGTGTGCTTAGCCTGAGACACCTGGAGCGCCTTGGCCTTCCTAATCAGGCCTTCTGAGGTCGCTGCTGAGCGAGAGGTCTGCCTTTTCTTTCTTTTGTGATTGCAAGGCAGAAACCTTAAAACGTAGGGAGTTACATTTTTACATGTATAAAACCACGAAGAAATTGCATTGTGCCAAATGAGATTCCTAGCCCCCACAGATAACCCTAATTAAAGTTTTTGGTGTACATTTTGGCCTGTATGTTGCCCATCAGTGTGTCTTTGGTGTTAGTCCATAAATTAGGGTAGAATCTTGACGTGTAGTATTTTAAAATCGACAGTTCCTATTCAGTTGAAGTTACAGCTCGTCCTCTGACAGAGCAGGAAGGTGCCCAGATCTGTATCATCCAACCTCTAAAGGAAGTCGGACTAGAGGTGAGAGCCCTTCTGTACTTGCACACAACCTTGGCTTTGCCTTTCTGTATCTCTTTCCTTGTCTGATTTTTACCCGGTGGGGAAAAGAAGTCTTTTTCTTCATGAATAAATTAAGCCGGTCACAGCAGACTCCCCCGCTTTCTTGAGAGAAAGATGAGGGGGAACCCTGCCCCAAATGTAAGCACGCTCTTCACGTTTGTGAGCCACTAAATGCGGGAATTTTTTAAGATGCGAAATGTGTGAAGAGGTAGGGAAGGACACATGGACCGTCTGGCGAGACGGCTGTGGGGGGCAAGGACGACCTGAGCTCTGGACAGCCTCGGTCTTCCCCAAGGCCAGGTCTCTGTCAGTGTCCGGTCTACAGGAGAGGATTTGAGGTTTTGGAAGATGTCCCTAAGTG